GGAACACTCTAGCTGCACTTCTTCCAACACAGATCTGTTGGTCATTAGGATGCATTTAAGGCTGGAAAGACCTCAAAAATGAGCCAAAAGAGGGAAGACTGTGCCTGAAGTATAGAAACTGATGTGAAAGACCATATAGAATTACCATTGATGTGATTGAAGTTGGAATTCTACCTGGCTCAGCATTTTCAGTTTTAAGAGAACATTTTGGTCTCAGCAAACTTTTGGCTTATAGAGTGAAAGAAGTGTTATATGAAGATCAGCTAGCTCAAAGAGCTGACCTTTCCATCAGTCTTTTAGGCAAGATCAAAACCAATAAAGATTATTCTATGGAAAGAATCATAACTGGGGATAAAACTTAGGTTTATAAATATGATCAAGAGTGGAAAGTTCAATCCAAACAGTACTTCTGAGTCCCCACTGAATAGGTTTTATCTTGTCTAGATGGGTCTGGTGAAAAGAGATGGGGATAAGATCCTTATGATTCAATAGTGAGCCATTGTTATTATGACTAATTGCAATGGTCACAATTGTAAAGGTAGAAGTTTTGTAACAAAAACGGGGAAGTAGTTAATCTTACAGTCCAGAAACAGGACCCTAGGAACATCAAGGTAGACACATGAAGGGAAAGTTGGACCCTATCTAGAGAAGCAGTGACACCAGAAATAGTGGCAGAGATGATGACATGGAGAGACAGAGCAACTGAGGACTCTAGACTTAACTGAAGCTCCAAAACTAAACAACATTTTATTGCAAAGCACCTATTTGGTGTTTACTGCAATACTTACTAATATTTGTATATAGTCACTATTCTGAGAATTTTACAATGTTAACTCATTTAATTACATAATCACTTAAGGAAATGGGTATAAATATAGTATACTGTTAGGTAAAATGCATATGTAGAAAATGATAAAAGCAATGAAGAAAACAAAATTCAATACTGATTATCTGAATAATGGGAGTATAGAATAAAAAGGCAAAATTTGGTTTATTTCACTAGTGATAGCTCTATGGTTATTCTTTTAAAACTTGTTCTTTTAATCAAACATATGCCTCTATGAAATAGGAACCAACTCGACAGCAGTAAACAACAAACAATGTATTTTATATTTATTCTGATAAATGTATTGTTGTTTAGTGCCGTTGAGTCAGTTCTGACTTATAGCAAACCTGTATATTGTTACCAAGGAGCAACTTTGTAGTTAGCAACCCAGTGCTTGTCCTACAGTGCTACAACAAGACCTTACATATGTATAATATATTTTATAATTAAAATGTAAAATAATAATTATGAAAAATTTGTAGGGTTTAATAGATTAATGGTTCAAAAACTGGACACTCATCTAAGACATAACTTTATATTCTTATAAAAATTAATATATAATAATTAAGTCCAGATGAGTTAAAGATCTATAGCTGAAAAAGGAAAAAGTATCAAAGTTTGATGAAAGTTATAGAATATGTCTATGATATTGGAATAGCGAAGGATTTTTTTTTTTTTTTTTTTTTTTTTTTTTTTTTTTTAGTTTTACTTTAAAGTCACTTCCAAACTGTAAAGAAAGTTAATGACACATTAGAAGACACTGAAATCTTTTATTGCCATCCAGAAGTTAAGGTGTCTCAGACTCTTCTCACCTGCTCCTGTTTATCTGTGTAGACTGTTAGAGTCCTGGTGTGGCGCTGTAGGGTAAGCACTCAACCACAACCTCGGTTTGAGCCACAAAACTCACCAGCCACTTTTCAGAAACCAGGTCTCTATGGGTCAGGACCAATTTGACAGTACTCAACAACAGCAGCAATCGATTTCCCACTTTGAGAAAGAAGGCATTTTCCACCAAATCACCTCTAACTCTTATATACCTCTGTCCTCGAGGATGACATAATCATCCACTTATAAATCCAATTCAGAAATCTGGAGTCATTCTTAATTCACCTCTCATGTGGCAGAGTATCTTTTCCTTGGTCCTTGTCTCTCCTTGTAGATTGAATTCCTGGTCTCTCTTCACTCTCTTATTTATTCCTTTACAGCATGGGTAGGAAAATTTTTTTCTGCCAAAATTTATAACCTCATTTGAGTACCATACAAAATTATCAACTTAAAAATTAGACTGCTGTATCTGGTCAAACATTTAATTATCTCACCCCTAATGTGATGGCTGGAGTCATGGAGTGGTGCTGAGGGTTAATGTACCAGACTGTAAAGCCGTTTGAATTGCAAGGTTGATGGTTCAAGCTCACCATCTGCTACTCGGAAACCCTATATAGGATTGCTATGGGTTGGAACCGATTCAACAGCACTTAACAACAACAAATTGTGATGGCTGGAGTCCTGGATTGTTGGTTTGAACCACAAGGTTAGCAGTTCAAGCTCATCAGTTGCTCCTCAGAAACCCTATAAAAGGTTGCTATGGGTCAGAACTGACTCAACGGCCCTTAACAACAACAATGTGCTGGGAGGAGATCTGGTTTGGTGCTGTGGGTTCATGTGCTGGACTGCAAGGTCAGTTTGAATCACAAGGTCAGCGATTCTAGCTCACCAGCTGCTCCTCGGAAACCCTATACAGGGTCGCTGTAAGTCAGAACGGACTCTACAACACTTAACAATGTGATGTCTGGATTCCTGGTGTGGTACTGTAGCATAAGGACTCAACTGCAAGGATGGTGATTCAAACTCCTCAGGAACCCTTTTCAGGGTAGCTATGAGTAGGAACTGACTCAACACCACTTAATAACTATAACACCAAGAATGTGATGGCTGGAACTGCTCTACAGAGAAAGAATAGCACAATAGTGTTGGTGAGTTTGGAAGGAGAAAATGATCATGCATTTCTACCTATCATTTTCGAACTAACTAGATCTGCAGGATGCAGGAATCATAAAATTCAGCATTAGAATTCTGCTTCCTCAAAGGGAGGCCTGGAATTTCCCAACAAGCATATATAACTTAGAGAGTATATTTACTTCTGGATTTCACACTTTAGACGATCTCTTGTCTGTATATATGGGTCACTTTCTCCAGTAACTTTATCTGCTAGAAGTTGAATCTTTGCTTTAATATCTGCATACACTTCATTTTTAGTTCTTAATGGCTTTAGGACTTGAGTTAGGAAACAAAATGCTATTTATTGAACATCCCTCCAATTCCCCACTGCACTCAAATCCCAGGTCCTCTAGGTGCTATATATTGAATTAAGCTTATGTCTTTGCCCCACTTCCCTCTAAACCATCTCTGCTTTGGATTATTAATGGGCAGACTTATTTTAAAAACATACATCTTCCACACAACCAGCAGGATGTTTCTTCAAACAAATGTTATCATGTCTTGACTTTTCTCCACAGCTTTAACTATTTATTTTAAACTCCTTTGTTGTTCCCATCTGGTCCTCTTACCTTCACAGGATTTTCTTCATGCCAAACAGTTATGGTGTTATAAAAAACAAACAGGCAAATGTATGATTTCTCCATCTTTTCAAAAATTGTTCTCATTTCTCCAAAAGACCTTGTAACCTCTTCATCTAGCCAGCAACTAATCATCTTTTAAAATTTATAACTAATTAAAAGCATCACCTAACCAGGAAGCCGCCCCTGACTTCATCTGATACTAGCCTTTTTCTATGTTCTTTTCTAAACCATGGTTCAATCTTTAACACATGTATGTATGTATTTATTTATTTATTTATTCATTCATTCATTCATTCATTTATTTATTCTTTTACTCTGTTACCTTTCTTTTCTTCCTTTTCCATTTCTTTTCTTCCTTCTCTCCATCTACTCAATCAGTCATTACTTGTCAATGTCTACCATATACCATAACCTGTGAATTTTTTTGTGGCTTCAGGGGTGAATGGGCTGATAATATTCTTGTTTTCATGGATTATAATTTCTGTCAAAGATTTACGAAACTGTAATGAAACATTTTCCTGACTGCTGTTTCCATGAATCTGTATACTACTATATGGCAGAGATGGTGTATTTGGCTTTAAATCCACCCCATCTATCACATGCATGAAATATGGGAATTACCAGTAATGTGTATTGATTCACTTAATATCTAAATTCATTAACTCATATACAGTTTTGATTTTTTTTCACCTTCTGTAATTTCAGAAATTCTAATGTTCATTGCTTAAATACTTAATGATTCTGGTTCAGATACCTCCTGCAACCTTAAACTTTGAATATGTAAAACAAAGTTTAGGAGATGTTTGAAACTTTGATTCATTGCAGCAATAGAAGAACAAATTTTATTTACTTGGTGGATTAGGTTTAATCTAACCCCTGTTGCCGACATCTGGAACTATTTAGCTTTCAACTGATTTTCCAAACTTGCCCTTTGGTCTTTCATTTATTCAGTGATCTCTGAATAGATTTTCAATAATTTTTGTATGTCCCTCCACCTATTTATAATCAGATGTACAGAGTTGTTCTGTTTCTTAAGAAAAGAAACCTAATTTATATGCTTAGATAAAGAAGTTAATCCAGATTAGCAATTACTATCAAATACTCTTTAATATGGTTGAATAGTAAGCATACTTAGAGAAGTCACATTATGAAAATTCTCAAAAGAAATTAAAAAGCTACTAAATAATGCCTTTATATTACTTCTTTAGGTAACTTGCCGGTGGACCTTCCAGCACCACCAGAAACTTCCATTCCGGTAACACTACCTCCTCACAACTGCACAGATCAGGAATTTGTCTGCAGGTCCAATGGTCACTGTATTGACAAAATTCGGAAATGTGATTTTAGATATGACTGCCCTGACAAATCAGATGAATCATCCTGTGGTAGGTGAATTCCTAAAATGTGTATTACACATAGCAGTGAAATAGATAAGAAAGTAGAGTAATCTGTAAGTAGCATGTCTAGCGGCATAGTTGGAAATGTTCAAGTAGGCCTAGAGCAATTATTTAACATAAGAACTTTTTGTATAGGACATTGTAAAGGAATCAGCATATATTCTTTTGCCTGGCCCAACAAGAGATAAATACTTTTTTATTAGTATTTTGAATTATAAAAAGTTATCTGGATTATTCAAAGCTCATAGGTTTAGGAAATGAATCTGAATGAATCAGAATATTATACAGATTATGCTGCTGGAAAAGAAAGTTATTTTCTATACTTGATCTAAAGTATGCATGGTAAAGACAGTTCTCTGGTCCAATCAGATGGTGCCCAATTATAGAGTATAAATGAATATTTAAATAAATTATAAAAAATGCTCAACAATTAAATCTATTGAGCTATTAATATATGTGAATGAATATATATTCCTCTTTCTAAACCATCCATTGCATATTACTTGGAGAAAGGAGACCACATCTGTTAGGATTTATGTGTCAATCATGTAAGCAATGTAACTGTTAGAAGAAATTAGCAATGCTTAATCTGCTGGCATAAGATGCCTATTAAAATCTCACCTCCTCCTGAAAGCAGATTTATTACTACATGCATTTAATCTCATATTTCAGTTACTACATGTCTTTAAATATAATAATCCTAGATTTCTTTAAAACAGTGATTATATGGTCAATTTACTTAATTATTCTAACTGTGTTTAAAAGTTAGTGGTTACAGTAAAAAACAAAATAAATAAACAGAATAAGAGGATCCTGGTGCAAATAGTAAATGTCATTTGTTGACATACATACTATGATTAGTTTATCTTTTCTTTTTTTCCCCCCTCTCTTTGTCAGTTAGTGAAGTTTGCAGCTTTGAAAATGAAAGCCTTTGTAAATGGTATCAACCAATCCCAGTAAATTTATTTCAAGATTTGAACATATTTAGTTGGGGTCTTGGTAATGGAAGAAATATTCATCATGGAGAAGAAAACCACAGGCCATTCATGGACCATACAAAGTAAGTGCCTACCTATTTTGAGCATATTACTTAGGAACTCTTTGTTAAGCAGTTCCATAATTCCTGCTCCACCACTTTAAAATAGACCAATGCAATTGTAAAAATAAATGTTTAAATTAAAAAAATGAGAGGGGTAGGTGTATTCTTCAATACATACTTAAAAAAAAAAAATAAATCAATTGAAAATTAGTGAAAGTTCATCAGAGGTCACCCAGCAAGACCCACCTCTGTTCTTTGATTTCTCCTGGGAGCCTCTAGAGGCCCATGCCCTCACTCTGGCCATGGAGCCCTCATTCCATGAAGTCATGGATTGGGTGTCCCAGGCTGTGGAAGAACACCAGCAGACACTCACCCAGGTCCCTCTGCAATTGGACATGTTGAATAACAGCTGGAAACCCTGGCTCAAGCTGTGCTGTGGCCTCTTCCTCATGTGCCCATGCAGTCGAGAAGACTACTTAGAATAAATGTCTGCCAGCAAAACCGGGGTGACTTTGTGGGTCCCATTGCTAGATTTCTGTTAGGGATTGAATTGTGTACCTCTACAGGAGTCCTAAGAAGCTCTGGTAACATAGTGGTTACGAAGCTGACTGCGAACCACAAGGTCAGCAGTTGGAAACTACCAGCTGTTCCCTGGGAGAAAGATGAGGCGTTCTGCTCCCATAAAGATTTACATCCTCGGAAACCCTGTACAGGGTCGCTATGAGTCAGAATCGACTCCACAGCACATAACCACCACCACAGGAGTCCTAGTGTGGTGCTATAGGTTAATACACTGGACTACAAAGTCAGTTTGAACTACAAGGTTGGTGGTTCAAGCTCACCAGCTGCTCCTCAGAAACCCTATACTGGGTCGCTATGAGTTGGAATTGATTCTATACAGGGTCTCTGTGGGTCAGAACCAACTCGATGGCACTTAACAACAACAACAGTGTGTGCAGAAATCCTAATCCCTCTACCATGAATCCATGAGGGTCCCATAAGTGTCCGAGTAGAACTGTTTTTCATAGGATTTTCAAGGCCGTGACTTTTGGGAAGTAGATTGCCAGGTTTTTCTTTCAAGGATCCTGTAGGTGGGTTTGAACCACCAACCTACCAAATAGTACTTGGGGTGCTTACCCTTTGACAGCACACACAGTGTCCCCATGAGTCAGAATTAACTCCACTGCTGCTGACTACCACAATGACTGATCCGCAGAGGTGATCAGATTTGGGAATAGGGTATTCTTTGTCATGTGAATGAGGCATGGGGTCTGTCTTAAATCCTAGTCACTTTCGAGAAATAATAAGAGTAGATTAGACAGAGAAACCTGCTACAGTACAGTCGATTCCGAATCACAGCCACCTGATAGAGTAGAACTGATGCTTGGCATTTCTGAGGCTGTAAATGTTTTTGTTTTTTTCTTTTCTTAACTTTTTTTTTGTGAGTTGAGTTGAAGGTTCACAGAGCAGATCATCAGTTTTACATTCAACAAATCACATATTTTGCTTCATTGCATGGTTGCAGTCCCCTCCATGTACCAACAATTAACAATATTTACCTCTATTTACTTTAACTATTGCATTCCTCCTTGTGTCTACCTCACCCCACTTTTCTCTGCCAACCTCCCTCTTATATATTGCCCACCTTGTCACCCATGTTAACATGAACACTTTTTCTTCCCTTCCTCCCTCACCTTCACCCTCTGTAACCATCATAAATTGTTTCTTTCTTTCTTATGATGCTTTTATTGTGAATTGAGTGATAGTTTGCATGGGATAACAACAATTTTAGTATGTTATTTGAAGATTATCAGTTTATTTCGAAGTTCCTTCTCTCTTCCTTCTTTTCTTCCTCTTTCTGTTATTCCTCCTCTTCACCCCATTAGTAGTTCCTTGAATCTCCCTTTCTCTCTTCTCTTCCTTCTTCCCCATACACTCTCTACTATTTCTGATTCTCTTGTGTGTTTATTATATACATTACTATTTTTATATGTATATGTGGAGTCCTGATGTGTTGCTGTAGGATAAGCACTGATCTATTAACTGAAACTTTGGTGGTGCTCCTTGGAAACTTTATACAAGGTGGTTATGAGTCAGAACGGACCCGACAGCCCTTAACAACTGCAATGACAACAATATATATGTAAGCAACTCTATATACTCCTGGTGTGGTGCTGTAGGATAAGCACTGGACTATGAACCACAAGGGTGGCAGTACAAGCCCACAAGCAGCTCCTCGGAAACCCTATACTAGGTCGCTATGAGTTGGAACTGACTCGACGGTGTGTAAGTATAACAAAAACAACATATGTATGTATAATGTATACATACATGTGTAAAGAAACTTTTTTCCACTTCGCTACAAATTATGACCACTTTACCATGCCTTTTGACATCTATCTAGAGCAGGTGTGGGAAATGTCCAGCCCACAAAATCGTTTGGTCTAGCCCTGCCAAGGCAACCGCAGTCCCAGCCATCACGTTATTAGCAGGTTAATTTTCAGTTGATATTTTAATGACCCACAAATGATGCAATAAATATCCAAATGGCCTTTGGTAGAAAAAAGTTTCCCCACCTCTGAATTCTACAACATGATTTGTATTTCATTATAAGAGCACTTAATAATTTAGTAACCTATTCCTGAATGGTGAACTCCTCAGTTAATTACATTTTAAATGTTGCAAAGAACAAGTGCTTTGCTATTGTTAAATGACATTGAGTTGGATCTGATGCATAGCAACCCATTATAGGGTTTTGAGGAGCTCTGGTGAGTTTGAATTGCTGACCTTGTGGTTTACTGTCCAGTGCTTATCCTGTAGTGCCACACCAGGCGTATGTAGGATCTCTGAGTTGGAATAGACTCGGAACTTAGCAAGTAGATATTAAATAATTTTGTGTGTGATAAACAGGAGCCCTGGTGGCATTGTGAGTTGAGCACTGGCCTGCTAACTTCAGGGTTAGCTGTTCAAACTTATTTTGAACTTCTTGGGAGAAAGTTGAGTCTGTCTGCTCTTGCAGATTTACAGTCTTAGAAGAATCTTTTTACTTTCTGTTATAATAAGGAGCTCTGGTAGCGTAGTGGTTACAAATTGGGCTACAAACCTCAAGGTCAGCAGTTCAAAACTACCAGCTGTTCCATGGGAGAAAGATGAGGCTTTCTGCTCCTGTCAAGATTTACAGTCTTGGAAACCCTGTACAGAATCACTATGAGTCGGAACCGACTCCTTGACACATAACCACCACCATATAAGGTTAATATGAGTTGAAATCAACTTGACAACAGTGGATAGTAGTGAGTAATATGATAAATACAATTCTAGATATTATAGATATCCTTGCTTTTGTGGGAGATGAGCAATAAATAAATAAATTAATTAATATTGGTGATCATAAGTGCTGTAATGAAAAATGGAAACAAGGAGAAAGATAGTGAGTGTTGGATATGAATGGAGCCTTTCAAAAATGAAAAGAAAAGACCAAATGAACATACCCTCAACTAGGAACTTGTCAGATCACAATGGAGCAAAATGAGCTAGGGTGGGCTACTCAGATGTATAATTTTTTTTCTTTACTGTATAGCTAGTGCATTTTTGTCCATTTAAAAACTTTTTTTGACTTATGTGTTATACCTTTCTAAGCACATTTTGTATATTTTGTGCATCAAATTTTTATCTATTGTCTATTGGCTTTATTTTTTATCATGTTGTACAGTTTTTAACACTTATTACATACACATAGTCTAAAAAGACAAGTATTGAAAGTCAGTCATGACCAACTTTGTCGTAGTTTCAGTAACTCCCCTTCAGTTCCTTAAATATAGCATTTTCTCCTCCAAGATCCTATAATTATTCATCTATAGCATTCTAACTTTTTTTAGAGACTGGTTGTAAGTTGTTGTTCTTGCTATTAAGTGTCATCGAGTCCGACTCATAACAACCCTTTACAAAGTTTCCAAGGCTGTCAATCGTTGTGGGAAGAGAAGGCCTCACCTTTTTCCCACAGAGTGGCTAGTGGCTAAAACCACTGACCTTGCAGTTCACAATCCATTGCCTGATGATCTTTGGATATCTATCAATGTTTTGGTAACAGTAAGGGACTTAAATGTTAATTTGAAACATGATACAGATGACCAGAGGTCTTTATGAGATATGCTTGTTTGTTGGGTAATGCATTATCCTTTCTTAACTAGATGCTTCCATAATGTTGTTTGAAGTATGTTTTCTAGTATTAAATTTGTGTTTTCCTTAGTAACATCTTCCTACTATACTAAGAACAACTGTAGCTCTGTAAGATAGAGCACTGGAATTTAAGGTTGGTTTGAACCACAAGGTTGGCGGTTTAAACTTACCAGTTGCTCCTCAGAAACCCTATACAGGATCACTATGAGTTGGAAACAATGGCACTTAATACAGGATTACTATGAGCTAGAAACTGTGGCACTTACCAACAACAATGAAGATTTAATAATTACTGAGTGTATATTTATTTCTAGTTTTTATCAGTGTCTGATTACAGGGGGCAGAGTTGGGCTGTTAATTGTAATGTTGACTGTTCAAACCCATCAGCTATTCTGAGGGAGCAAGATGAGGCTGCTTACTCCTATAGAAGTTGTATCCTTTCACTACACTTATTCAGTCTTTATATTGAGCAAATAATCTCAGAAGCTGGATTATATGAAAAAGAACATAATATCAGGACTGGAGGAAGACTCATCAACAATTTGTGATATGCAGATGTCACAACCTTGTTTGCCAGAATGGAAGAGGACCGAACATACTAAGCAATGAAGATCAAAGACTGCAACCTTCTGTATGGACTGTACCTCAAGGTAAAGAAAACAAAATTCTCACAACTGGACCAAAAATTATATCATGAGAAGACTGAAGTTATCAAAGACTTAATTTTGCTTGTATTCACAATCAACACAATCAAGCAGCAGTCAAGAAATTATTGCATTAGGCAAGTTTGCTTCAAAATGCCTCTTTGAAATGTTCAAGAGCAGAGATGTCAGTTTGCGTAG